GTGCAATTGCTGGATCGTATGGTAGCTCTATTTTCAACTTTTTGAGGAACCTCCATACTGTTTTCCAGAGTGGCTGCACCAGCTTGCATTCCCATTGGAGAAAAATTTTAAATTACAGACAAGAAAAAAAAATTAAATACAAATAAAACCTGACATACCTACCACACAGAGACCACTGTTAGCTCCTTAGTACGTATCCTTGAAGATCATGCATATAATGCATATATGTGGATATACATATAGGTATGCGTACGTGTGTGTGCATTTGCAAGGTGTGGTCGTATTACACATGCCATCCTATGACCTTTGTGTGGTCACAATCTCTACCTTCCTATTCCAGATATTTCTGTCTTACACGTCACCTAGACCCTATTCAGATTTCCTGATGGAGCCAAATGTCCTGTAGATCCTGTTTTTCAACTGGAGATCCAGTCTGGGACCACGCATTACATCTGGATGTTGAGTCCCTTGAGTGTCTTTTAATTGAGTACCTCCCTTTTCTGTGACATTGGCTTATGAAAGACACCAGCTACTTTTCCGTTCATCTGAGAGCTCTCTCATGGTGTCTTCTAGCTTGTTCCTCTGTTCCCCACATTTCCCATAAACCAGAAGTGATGTCAAAATGCTTAATGGATTCCAGTTCACCCAAGGTGATACATCATGTCTGGCTGGCACCATTGTCAATGCTAAGATTGACCATGGACCATGCCTGGTCTCCCGCTGTGCAGCCAGGCTAGCACCTTGTGATGAGCCCAGGATCCATTTGCCATCACTGTGGTGCTAACAGGGACAGCCATATCTCCATCAGCTCTTCACCTGATGGTTTTGACCCCAATGAATAATCTTTGTTTGAGTCAATCATTTCATCAGTAATTTTAGAGGGAATTTTACGATCATTCAGCTATGATAAGACCAACAGATCAGGAAGCAATGGCCTCTGAAAAGATAATTTGTTACAGTTCTTGAAAGGAGGGGGCAGCCTCTGCCACTTAGGGCCACCTGGGGAAGCACCATGTTTGGTCAGGAGGCAGAGGGATGGAGGGGAAAACATGGGCAAGAGTCTTCTTGTGGTTTCCACAGGAAACAACTGGTGAGGCAAGATAAGTGGGTTTAAGATTGGAGAGTTTGAATAACTTCATCTGGCTCTATGGTGATGGGCTTTCTCCAGTTGGCTGAATCCTGGTCTGGGGATGATTAGGGCAAAGCACTAGTGGCTCAAGCCTGTCCCAGGAGGAACCAAGGCCACTGAGGTGCCTGGGCTCCGATTGGTTAGTTTGCATATAAAAGGCAGTTTGCTGTCTCTAGGGAAAGGGGTAGCCCTGGGAGGGGCAGTCTCTCCAGTGTCCGCAGAGCCCCGGATGTCAAAGCATCAGAAACACAGAAAATAGGGGGCACCTCGTTGGCTCCATCTGAAGACCATGCAACTCTTGATCTTGGGATTGTGAGTTTGAGCCCCATGTTGGGCATAGAGTTTACTTAAACAAACAAACTTAAAAACATACAGCAAATCAAAAGTCATGATTATTCCAATCAGAGTTTGTCAAAGCATGTTTTTCTACTTCCATCATTCCTTTTGCATTTAGTAGCTGGCATTTCTCTGTTAAAAAAAAAAGTTTTCTCCCATAGAAATTGAAAATATTGTTTCTTAATTTTAGCTATTACCAGCTCTCACACTGTTGCTGACTCCTCCAGTGACTCCTCCATGTGCTGTAAGTATAGTGAGATCCCTCTTCTAGATGCTGGAGATGGGATAGGTACAAAGAAGAATCTCTGCACTCCCGGAGCTTACATGCTAGTAACGACGGGGCAGGGGACAGACAGGAAACAAGATACACGCATGGGACACAGTGACAAGTGCTATGGAGAAAAATAATGCAGAGGAGGCGGCGAGTTTTGGGTGAAGCGGCGCGTGATAGGCAGCAGGGTGAATGGGGTCACACTGAAGTAAAGACCGAGAGCAACACAGGAAGCAAACCAAGGGGCTCTCTGTGGGAAGAGTGTTCCAGAAGGGGAAGAAGGCAAAGGCCTTAAGGCAGGGTTGAAGAAAAGCAAAGAAAACAAGTGGGCTGGAGCAAAGTGGGTGAGTAGTGAGAACTAAGGTCAGGGGCGCCGGAGTGGCTCAGTTGGTCAAGCTCAGGTCTTGATCTCAGGGTTGTGGGTTCAAGCCCCGCATTGCGCTCCATCCTGGGCATGAAACCTACTTAAAAAAAAAAAAAAAAAGAGGGTCAGAGGTAACAAGGGATCAAATCTTGGAGGGCTTGCAGGCATTGTCTAGGCAGGGAGGAAACCCCCGGAAGTTTCCACAGATGCTAACATTTCAAATGTTAGAACAAGCTTTCTGCTTAGACTTGCTTCATTCCCAGATACCATGTCAAGTTCAATATGTAAATGTGTTAATGGCTACAGAGTCCCATCTGTTTATTCCCTGAATGTTCTTGGAAGCAGCTGTTGAACGCAATGGTGAGGGAAACAACGGGACGGGCCCCTGCCCTTCTGGAGCCTCGAGTCAAGTAAGGGAAGAGAGACCATACAATAATCTCCCACACAAGGTCAAAGGCAACTGTGCCTCCAACCCAGCCCGTGAGGGAGGTTGGGGAAGGCTCCCAAGGATGGGACTCCTCTCTTCCAGCAACTGAAGTGTGAAAGGAGTCAGCAAGTTGAAGAGAGAAGAGGATTGTTCTAGGCAAAAAGAACAGTGTGGGGGAGCAGGGGGGTGTGGTGCAGGATGATGTGGAAAGTGGGTGCCCAAGTCCTTTCTGAGAACAGCGGGAGATACTAAGCGGAGAGGACAGATCAGGGCTCGGAAGGGCCCTCGTCCACTGTGGAGAAGGGCCTGGAGGCTGGAGATGGACGGAGTCAGACAGCAGGAGACATTATGGTCCAGGAAAGCAAAGGGGGTGCTGTGGACGCAGGAGGAGGCTCTGGGGAAGAGAAGATGAGGACAGATTCCAGAGACACTGGGGAGGTGGGGGTACAGGGAGGGGGAGGAATTGACAACACTCGTCTCCATAATCAATAGGGCGTGGGGTGGAGGAGAGGACCTGTCTGGTTCTGACGTGTTTTTGGAGTAGTGTTGTTGGGGTCCGGAGCCGACGGCCAAGAAAGAATTCTTGAGACGTCTTCGGTGCAAAAAGGTGCTTTTATTAGAGCACGGGGCCAGGACCAGTGGGCAGAGAGAGCTGCTGGTCCGGGGTTGTGAGGAACAACTGACTATATATTTTGGGGTTGGGGAAAGTCAAGACAAAGGGAACTTCCGAAAGGATTTTCATATGCTGAAGAAGATTTACAGGATACTGGAGGCCTGGCTATTGTCAAGCTAAGGTAGTTTTTCTCTCCAGCAAGCCATTAACATTAAGACAGGAGCTTCCTGGAGGAACATTATGCTCAGCCTGCCTCAAGTGTTTGTCAGTGGGCTTCAGGTTACAAGGACAGTGAATTTTATCTGCATTTCCTCCTGCCTTTGTTTCCCACATCGGTTTGGCTTGTGTAACACCAGGGTTCATCTTGAGGTTGACATTTCTCCTTGACCTTTTTGTTTCTATCCCCACACGCAAGGTTGCATTAGCTGCCTGCTGAGTTTAATCAAGTCTGTTGAGCACTGGAAAATCCCCTGTCCTAGTGATACTGGGAGTGAAGGGATAATCAGTCTATTTCCAGAACCCAAAGAGGGTTAGAATAGAAAGGAGCTTTTCTTTAGCTCTCATCCCTCCCACCACGCCTTCCCCACTGGAGCTCCCACATCTGTGAGCCCCTCTGGAAAAAGACTAGAGGCCTTTGCCTAATGCCTAGAACTGCTGAAACCACCAGTTCACCCGTCTCAACCCTAATCCCATTTCCACTCTGCTCCTTAAGTGGGATTTGGCTTCTAGACATTGAGACGTGGGTGTGGGCCCCCTCTCCAGATCCCCTACAAATTCCCCCACACACGTCAAGCCAGGGGCCTTGGCAGGGTCATCTGGTTACACAGAGCAGGGGCCGGCCGCTCACCCCGGAGGGACAGAGCCCCTCTCCTCACCTCCCGGGCTCACCAGGCTGGCTGCACAAGGTACATGACCACCCCCGGCCCAAGGCTTCTCAGACCTGGGGCAGGCACAGGGAGAGCAAGGGGCAGGACCATGGGTGTTTTCCTGTGGTCAGTCTGCCATAGTTTCCCCTTTTCCGTGTGGTTTCACGGACTTTGCTTGTTAACGAGACTCAGGGTGCACTGAGGTCCAGACAGCTAAGACGGCCCTTCCACTGTGTGTCAAGCTGGGGAGCGGTGGGAGAACAGGACAGGACTCCTGGGGATTTAACATATCTTGAAAACGATATTTGTGAAGTGGTTATGTTGTGGTTTTCGGGAACCTTTCCTATTCTAATTACCATGGGACATCATCGTGATAGAATTTTAAATCCGACCCGGCGAAGGCTAGTCAGGAAGTCAAACCTTCCAGCTGAGGTTTACTAAGAAATGTTTGAGGCTTATCGAGAAAAAGAAAACAGATGTTCTAAAAAAAAAGCCCCCCAAGGTGTCATAAACGCTAGACAGAGAGGCCTTATTTCATCGAACATCGATATTTAAGCAGATACAAGTAGATGTCTACTGGGCACGCAGGACCTCACGGGTAGGTTTTATACCCAGAATGTGCCTGGCTGCACATGCAGCCTCGTTTTCCCTTTCCACAGCCCGCTGACACCTGACGCACACCCCGAGGTGGGAGAAGCCAGCTGCCAGGGACACGTACCATGGCCGCCAACGCCAAGAGCAGCAAGTCTGCACCCAACCATGTGATCTTCAAGAAGATCTCCCGGGACAAGTCGGTAAGTGGTACAGAAGTGAGTGGCTTGAGGGGAAAAAAAAGGTTTCTTAAAGGAGCTTTTTTGAGAATAGACATGGGGCACCTGGCAGAGCATGCAACTGCTGATCTCATGAGTTCAAGCCCCGCATTGGGTGTAGAGATTACTTAAAAAAAAAAGACACGATCAACACTAAAATCCTGAGAGGCTGAGGGAAGCTCTGTGTCTGTGTTCCGTTGCTATTTGCGATGAATGATGAATGAGATGTAATCGAATGAATTGCACACATACAACTTCTTTTCAGTCTCTTAAAGAACTTAGCCCTGAGACCCTTAATTTTCTCCTCATCTCTCAGTCCCCACCCTCTTACTTCCAATTTTACTTGTTTTCCTAGCTGGCCTTGAACGAATGACTTAACCATTTCAAACACTGCTTTGTCGATACTAACTTGCGGGGCCCTTTGTCTTCTTGCTGCCTGCCTGGGGAAAGCCCCAGTGCTGGACTAGGGCAGCTCTATCTTCCGTGCGCCTACCCCAGCCACCATGCCTTCAATCCGCACTTGGCTCAGGGCCACTGGGTAAGGGAACATGGCTACCAATATCCGGGCCGCTTGTGTATCAGCAGAGATGATGCCCCTGTTGGCTCCATCGGGGGCTCAGTAGACGGTCTAGATGTGCCCATGAACTTCTGGCATGGGAGGCCTGACGGAAGGTCACCCCACAGGCTCCATGGACAGGGTCTTCTTACTCCATTCATTGGCTTCTTAGGGGCTGACAATCTAGCTCGGCGCCGTCCAACTCCAGCTGCAAATGTTATTTTAAAGCGTGTAGCTGCCACAATAAAAAAGAAGAAACAGGTGGAATTCATTTTATCATGTATTTTATTTAACCCAGTATATGCAAAAAACTATCACTTCAACATGCAAATGATATAAAAGTTATTGATGACATTTTATGTTCATTTGCTAAGTCTTTGAAGTCTGGTGCGTATTCTCCATTTATAGCACGTGTCAGTTTGGAATGGCCATATTTCAAGTGTCCTGAAGCTACCTGTACCTTGTTGCTACTGTGCTGGACAGGGTGGATCTAGATCATTCTTCTGGTTCACTTCTGAGACATTCCCATAGAAGTGATTGAGAATTTTGCTTTCAAAGGCTCTTCATACAGTTGGATTCGGTCGCTCTTTACTCCAGCAGCTTAGCCCTGGGGACTGTTTCTGACACTGAGTCAAGGTGCAGGACCCAGAGAATCATCATCAGTGCAATTAGACGCTTACCCAGCACACGCGGTTCTGAAAGCAGGTAATCAAGGGACTTCTCAGAGCTCTATTTTCTGTGCTTTGTAAACCTGAACTTTGGATTTTTTCTCTAGGGTTTCTCAAATGTTAAGCCTATATTGGGCCCAAAGGAAACTCTCTGATCCTCATAGTGCAACACAAGAAAAACAGATCTGCACCAGGCGCTCTCTGTCCTTTCTACTCCCAGCTGAGGAACTCCACTTTGGGGTGATAATTTGGGGACCCCCTCAACAATTCATTCCCCAAACTCTCTCCCAACTTTGTGTCTTCCCAGCACACTTTGTCTTGACTTCTGGCAGAAGAAGAGAGAAACCACTCCTGCCGGGCCATGTCATTTTCCCACTTTTTTCCCCCCCTCATACCTATAGAAAACCTTTGAACCAAGAAATTTAGAATTGCTGTATATGGGGGGAGAATCCACCCATTAATGTCTCACATAGTAAGACTATTCCAATTGCAAGCTCTGTATGGCTCCAGGCATGGTGCACCAGGAGCCCTGGGCCCATTTCTCTGTGATTCTCTGCCCTCTGCCCTCTGCTGTGATCTTCATCCTCCAGCTGGTGGCAAGATGGCTACTCTAGCTCCAGGTGTCTCACCCTCACTTCCTTCCTGAAGAAGGAAGAGGCTCTTACTTCCTGGTATCTCTTCTAAAGAGTGGGAAAATATTTTCCCAGCAGCCCTCCAGCAGACTTCTCTCATATCTCATTGGTCAAAACTGGGTCACATGCCCACCCTAAACCAGCCCTGAGCCAAAAGGAATTGGATAATCATAATTGGATCAGGCCAATCAAGAACCATCCTCTGGGGCTGGCCTCTCTTAGCGCGGGACCCCATGGGGGATGGTGAACCCTGAACATAATTGGCAACTTGTATCCAGGAAGAAGGGTGCTTGGTTTGTTGGTTGAGCAAGCAGCAGGTAGGCCACAGTCCCACATTGTTCAGCACCATTACTCTTCCTGCTCTGCCCCTTTCCTGCCCTCCCCTTCCAACTGTAGCAGAGGACATGCCTGTGCTCCCATCTGAGGTTCATGCTAGTTACACCTGGGCCTCAGGGTCCACCTCCTCACTAGCGTCCTCCACCGTCAGCCTCTCGCTCCCTACCAGTACTTTGCCTGAGCGTAAAAACAAGTACAGACCTCATGCATCTTAAAGACAACAACCAACAAACTCCCCTTGACCCTATTGCCTTTCCATTTCCTCTTCCTCCACAGCTAAAGCTTGAAAAAGAAGAAAACACACTCTCTCCACCTACCTTCAGTCTTCCCTACTGCCAACCTCAATCAGATGCCTAACTGGCTTTCCCCTCATCCATTCATTCTCCACTTTGCTGCCAACGTCGTATCCTCCATAAAATGGGGCTAATTTCTATCTCACAGAGTAGTTATGGGGATCCAGTGAAATAATGTAGACAGTGCTGAGCTTGGCCCCTGAGACACGATAAACACTCCAAATGCTGTTCAGCTGCAGGTCTTTCATCCTGCTTAAAATACTTCAACATTGGGGACACCTGGATGACTCAGTCGGTTAAGCATCTGCCTTCAGCTCAAATCATGATCTCAGGGTCCTGGGATGGAGTCCCTCGTCAGGCTGCCTGCTCAGCCGGGAGCCTGCTTCTCCCTCTCTCTCTGCCCCTCCCCTACGTGCGCGCTCTCTCTCTCATAAATAAATAAAATCTTAAAAAAATGCTTTAACATCTTCTTAGAGTCTTTAGGATTGGGTCCTGTAAGACCCTTTCTGGCATCAGCCTGCATCCCTATTTGGTGGCCATTCACCTGCAGATGAAGCCATTGGTTCCAGAAGCATTCTCTTGATTCTGGGCTTTGTATACACTGTTTTTGGTTTTGTTTCGTTTTGTTTTGTTTTGTCCAGAAAACATCCTCACACCATCCAACACCTACCTCCTTCCCAGCCACCTGACTATGTAGTCCTTTGGGTGCTTCAACATCAAATAACTGTGAAGGTATAGGGATTCACTCCAGGATATCTGATATGAGGGGGTGGAAATACTAGATGATTGAATGCCAACAGAAATGATTCTGGGAGTTCATGGACATAAGAATACGAATTTAAGAGGGTTAAGGAAGAAGGGGGCTAGGTAGATGTACACACTCACTCATTGGTGCCCTTAGCAAATGTAGATTAGAATCCTGTTGTGTACCAGGTACTGTGGTAGAAACTTGATGGCCAAGAGATGAAAGAATTCCTACCATCAAGGCACTCACTGTCCTGTGGCTTAGAGCGGTGAGTGATGGGGAACACGATCCATGCCCTTCCACAAAGGGGGTTGGCAGAGACTCTCACTGCCAAGGGCACGGAACAGACAGGAAGAGGACCGAAACAGCGATCATTGCCCCCCAACTCCCCCGCCCCTCTTGCTCAGAGCATGGGTTCTGGTGTACCTGTCTAGCAGCTCACCTGGTTGGATTTCAGGGATTCTGGGACTCCTGCTTCTTGGCTCAGTTCAGAAATTCTTCTAATGAGGAGGGGAAACCTTTCATTCACAGACAGAAATAAGAGACTTAAATGTCAGGAGGAGCCTCATTTACATAAGTCTAACTTTCCACTAAAGTATCATCAGTGAATTCAACAAGGTCACCTGGTTAATGTCAGACCTGGGCTTGGTGGGAAAAGGTGGGAGAACAGGGACCATCCAGAGGGGTGGGAAGTCTTCCTTGGAGCAGATTTATGGGGCTGAAGAGAGAGCACAACTTGCCTGTAATCCATAGTCCCTGCCCACAGCCAAGCGGGGAGAGAGGAGGTGCTGGGCAAACTGCAGAGCCAGGCAGCAAGTCTTCTCAAGACTAATCAAAATGTGCCAGTTGTTGCCACGTTTGGGGGGCCTTGGGGGGCTTTTTTGGTTGTTGCTGATTTTTAACTTGCATGCGCTAGTGTTCTTTGGCCACTTAGAATCCGCATCTGTTCTTCCTACAGGTGAGCATCTATCTGGGGAAGAGAGACTATATAGACCATATTGAACAAGTAGAGCCTGTTGGTAAGTTGAGTTTGGAGTGAGATTTTAATTTTAATGCTGGTTTTCCTTAAAGCCATTAGACAACTGCTACTTTTGTATTTCTTCAAATCATCTCTGCTGATAATCTAATCAAAGAAATGCAAATTAAAACATCAGCGAGGTAGCCACTGGCTGATTGGAAACCATTTCAGAGCATGGGGGAGACAAAGGACTCATTTCTAGACTATATAAAGAAACTCAGCAGTAAGAAAGACAAAATCCAGTTAGAAAATGTACAAAAAACATGAAAAGCAGTTCATCGAAGAAGATATATGGATGGCAAAGAAGCCCATGGAAAAATGGTCAGCATCATTATCCATTAGGGAAATGCAAATTAAACCACATTGGATTGAAATATCATTATACACCTGTCAGAATGGCTAAAATTAAAATAGTGACAATACCAAAAGATGGTGAGGATGTTGAGAAAACAAATCACTCATACATTGCTGGCGGGAATGTAAAATGGAACACCTACTCTGGAAAATCGTTTGGCGGTTTCTTTAAAAATTAAACATATACTGGGCGCCTGGGTGGCTCAGTTGGTTAAGCGACTGCCTTCAGCTCAGGTCATGATCCTGGAGTCCCGGGATCGAGTCCCGCATCGGGCTCCCTGCTCAGCAGGGAGTCTGCTTCTCCCTCTGACCCTCCCCCCTCTCGTGTGCTCTCTCTCATTCTCTCTCTCTCAAATAAATAAATAAAATCTTTAAAAAAAAAAATTAAACATATACTTACCATCTGACCCAGCAATTGCATTCCCTGGCACTCATCCCAGAGAAATGAAACTCACATCTACACAAAAACCCATTCGCGATAGTTTATGACAGCTTTATCTGTGATCTCTCCAAACTGGAAGGAACCAGAATGTCTCTCAATAGGTGAACCAGTTGAAACAAGCTGTGGCAATCCATACCATGAAACTCTACTCGGCAGTAAAAAAGAACGAGCCACTGATACAATAGTGTATGGATCTCAAGAGTCTCATGCTGAGTGGAAGAGCCAATCTCAAAAGACTGTATGACTTCACTTAGATAACAATCTAGGGATGATGAAATTATAGGAATGGTAAACTTATCAGTAGTTGGGGGGGGCATGCTAAGGATGGATGCTGGGGGGAGGGGATGACCCAAGAGATAGCTCTTTGGTGAGGGAACTGTCAACCTCCACATGAGATCAAATGACTTAGAACTGTACATACACTGTACCCCGTATCAGCTTCCTGGTTTCGATATTGTACTACAATTATCTAAGATGTAACCACCAGGAGAAACTGAATGAAAGATACAGAGGGACTTCTCTGTGCTATCTTTGCAACTTCCTGTGAATCGATAATTATTTCAACTAAAATAGCTATTTTTAAAAAGAGAGAGTGTAAAAAACCTGGCGTTTCTAGGCACTTGAGGATGAGAATGTCCCTGAGCAGAATGCTTTCTGGAAGGTCATTTGGCACTATGTCATTGAAATCCAAATCCAGTTCTACTGTTGATGGATACAAAAATGTATCTGTAAGGATGTTCATCACAATATTCATGATAATGGGGGAAATTGGAAATAAATGCCCTAACGGGGGGGTTAATTAAATAACTTATGGTATGTCCATTCAATGGAGCCATGTGTGGCCATTAAAATGGTGAGTATGTATTATATGTGTGTTTGTGTAAGAATAGATGTTTGCAATTTATAGTTGTATGAGAAAAGCAGTTAACTGAACAGTCTGTATTGTGGGATCTCGTTTTTTTAGTAAAAACATCCATGTAAGTGTATATACATGTAGTAAAAAAATTCTGCGCCAGTATCTTGACAATGGGTATCTCTGAGTGGTGGATATTTGGGCGACTTTGTTTATTCTTTGCTTAACTTCCCTTTCTAATTTTCCTATAATGAACATGGATTCCTTGTGCAATTAAAAACTGCAGAGAGGTGGCTCAGTCGGTTAAGAGTCTTGACTCTTGATCTCAGCTCAGGTCTTGATCTTGGGGTTGTGAGTTCAAGCCCTGCTTCGGGCTCCACGCTGGGTATGGAAACTCCTTGAAAAACAAAACAAAAACTACAGATAAATATATAAAGAAGGCCTCTGGTCTCTTTCAACTTTTTTTTTTTTAAGATTTTATTTATTTATTTGACAGAGAGAGATAGCAAGAGAGGGAACACAAGCAGGGGGAGTGGGAGAGGGAGAAGCAGGCTTCCCGCGGAGCAGGGAGCCTGATGCGGGGCTCAATCCCAGGACCCTGGGATCATGACCTGAGCTGAAGGCAGACACTTAACGACTGAGCCACCCAGGCACCCCGTCTGGTCTCTTTCATCTTCTCTGCCCTCATTGTTGTCTCCCTTTTGGTTTAGATGGTGTCGTGTTGGTAGATCCCGAGCTTGTGAAGGAAAAGAAAGGTGAGCCGGGCTTCTCGTTCTCCCAGGAACAGGTCTGGTCTGATCTCTGGGGAGGAGGAGCGGGAAACAGCAGGTGCTCTCTCGCACACCCATCACCTCCAGGCCCTGTCACCCACGTTCCCTCGTATAATCTTCAGGACACTGTCCTGTTCCCATCGGAGCTCACTGTCCCCATTTCCCAGATGAAGGTAAAGACCCAGGGGAGCCGCTTGGCCAGGGCGGCAGGATAGGTAAACGGTGGATGGAGCATGGAGGGTAGGTCCATGGGCTCCACCAGCTGTGCCAGGGGCAAAACTCAAGAGGGCTCCTTGGTGGGTTTATCCCAAAAGGGGGAAATCGAGCCTGCTGGATACTACTTTTTTTTTTTAATGCTGACCGTGGTGGTTCTAAAGCAGAGCATCCTTGCCGATCTCCGGCAGCTGTGATGTGTGGGGCCAGTAGTTTGGTGTTAATGACAGCTGTGTAAACTAAATCAGGACAGACCTGAGTTATCTTATGATAATGTCACTGACTCAATTCCATTCTAACTACGCTCTTTGGAGTGGTTGCTACTGGCAACCCCAAGGAATTACTCCCACCCCTGGGGGTGCCCATGGGAGCACATCAGATGTGGGGCCGTCAGCACTGAGGGGGCATGGCTCTTCTATTGTCTCTGACTTCCTCCTGGGCGCCATGCTTCTCGGCGGCACCTGGAGGAGCCTGGTTTGAGCCTGGAAAGCCCACACCCGTGGCCAGAGACGGGCACCTGCTCTGAGGGCAAGCAGTGTCCAGTGAGGGAGGCATAACGCCAGGTCATCTCTGGGCACCTTGCTCTCACAAACACTGGATGAGGGGCAGGCAAGGGATCAGTGGCTCTTCTGAGCTTCGTGGTGAAGACATAGACAAAATCCACCAACTAATGACTTCTAGGGACTTGGGGGAACCACTTCTGACATGCTTTCTGTTCAAGAAGAATGCACGTTGTGTGCTTTTATTTACCCCATTAAAGACTTGTACACAGTCCACCCTCAAAACCTATAGTTTCGTATAATCCTTTCGGTCCACTGGAGGCATGGATTATGTCTGTTTAATTAAATTGAATTTTCAGAGGTGTTGACTTAGAGAATGCTTGATAAGTTTCTGAGCAAGGTGAAAAAAGCGTTTCTGGGATTTAGTTGCTTCTCTCCTCTTGGTCCACGAGCGCCTGTCCCGCTGCTCTGGCCGATCCCCAATCTGTCTTGCTCCCTAACGCTGTTTCCCTCTGCTAATCACCTTCACTCTCTGTTAAAAGCCTCCCGAGGTCCCCAAGCGGGTGGGTCGAGAGAAGGGGGTGGTGGGATGGAGGACACAAGGGAGTCTGTAGGCAAAATAGTGCTCATGGAAGGTGCCTCCCCATCTTCTGACTCACACAGGTCTTTAGAGTAATCAACACAAGCCCCAGGGAAGGTGCTGGATCTCCAGAAGGGTGTAGGCTGGCTGGGTGGTGTGGTTCTCAAACCCCGTCCCCTCCAGAGGCTGGTGGGTGAGCGCTGCTGGGGAGGGGCGGGCAGGGTCCACGGTTGCCCGTGCGCACGCGGCCAGGCGGGGGCGCCATGCCGATGGCACAAGCCTGCCCTCCTCTGTCTCCCTTCCAGTGTATGTATCTCTGACTTGCGCCTTCCGCTACGGCCAGGAGGACATCGATGTGATCGGCCTGAGCTTCCGCAGGGACCTGTACTTCTCTCAGGCCCAGGTGTTCCCGCCCGTGGAGGCCACCAGTGCGCCCACGAAACTGCAGGAGAGCCTGATGAAGAAGCTGGGGGACAACACGTACCCCTTCCGGCTCACGGTGGGTGACTCCTCTCCCCCTCCAGGCCCCTGTCCACAGCACCTTGCAGTGGGACCAGGAGTGAAGGAGAGGGGACGGAGCAATGACTTCACATTTGTGGGCCTTCAAATTGCATCCTTGGAGGAAATTCTAGATTGCACGGGCTGTGATTGTCTTTTTTTAAGCCCTTGAAAATAGCCTCTCAGCCTTTGAAGGCACCACTTCAACCTACGGTTTAAATATTTCCCTTCATCCGACCACCTAATTATACGGGCATGTTATTCCTTCACTCACTCAGCTATAAAAAGAAAGAGGTGCCCCCCGGTTGGCCCGGACGAGCTCTCAACACGAAAGAGCTCCCTGCCGGACAGGGGATCGTACTGAAGTCAGAAGTCGTCCCTCGCCTTGACTGCTGGGCCGTGGGTCACTAGATAAAGGGCCCCACATCTCGCCGGGGGAGTCCTGGCTACCCACGGTGCCTCCAAAAGACTCGGGCGTGAACTCGGCCTGGGGGAAGCTGCCCTACCCTCCCTCTTTCCCAGCGTGCTCATGTGTCTTAAGATTATAAATTTCTCCAAAGTTATAACGGGTCAGCCTTAAAAGGGAAGGGAATTCTGACATATGCTGCAACACGAATGAACCCCGAACAACATTAGACTGACAGAAGCCAGACACACAAGGACACACAAGTGTCTGATGCCAGTGACCTGGGAGACCCCGAGCAGCCAGATTCAGAGACGCGGAGCCTAGAATGGTGTTCGGGGAGTTAGCGTTGACTGGGGACGGAGCTTCAGTGCGGGTGGGTGAAAACCATCTGGGGATGGATGGTGGGGATTATTGCAGGACAACGTGGATGTACTTCATGCCACTGATCGGTATGCTAAAAACCTAAGTCTTACATTGTGTGTATTTCACAACTTTTTTTTTTAATCACTTAAGAAGACAGTTTTGTGGTCCTGCGTGTTCTCATGATCTGGTCCTGGGAGTTTGAAGTGACATCACCTTGGAGAGCTAACCTGCCAAAAACCTTAAAAATGTGATTTTGACCTACGTTCCCTTTCTAGCGGCATCGCCTGTGGACTTAATTGGGATAAAACTGTGCCGAGGTGGATGAAGAAGGTTTATGGCAGCATATGGTTTCTCGTGGCAAAAAAGAGCAAAGTACCATTGAATGAAGGGCCAGCCAACAAAGGGGGCTGGCTAAATTAAATGTGGGGTTAACGAAGCCCGAAGAATGGCGGAACTCGGTGTAGAAAAACAGGCATAATGCATTCTGAGGAGGGTTTGGGCGGGGATGGGAGCAGAGCAGACGACAGGACACGTGCATCATTGGGTCTCATTCCTGTAGCACACACACGTGGACGTCCATATTAGTGTGTGAGGGAGCCCACGGGACACTCGGAAGTTCGTATTCCTGATGTTATTCCGGGTATTGGCAATAGGGGTGAACACGGGGTTTTGTGGGGGGGTTTTTGTTGTCATTTTGTGCTCCTCATCCTTCCTTTCTCAGTTTTGTACATCGAGTGCATATCACGTGTGAGAGAACTGCCTCTGAATGAAATGATTTGTTTCTTCTCACAGTTTCCTAATTACTTACCCTGTTCGGTGATGCTGCAGCCAGCTCCGCAAGACGCCGGGAAGGTTAGTTCCGAAAGAAAGGCCATGGATCCATTCATTCCTTCAAATGACTTTTTTTTAAGATTTTCTTTATTTATTTGGCAGAGAGTGAGACAGCAAGAGCGGGAACACAAGCAGGGGGAGTGGGAGAGGGAGAAGCAGGCTTCCCGC